TAAGATGGTGCGATTCTGCCTTGGGTCTTCAGCATCTAATAAGGTCGTATTGTACGTACCGGAGAATCGAAGGAAGCAAGGGAAAAATTCCCAACATTTGTGAATTTTGAATTGCCTCGTTATATCCGCCCATCGATGTTTGACCCATTTGCAACCCTCAAGAGTCTGTAACAGAGGAAGGCTGGGATCCACCGTCTCAAGAGCCTCCATTAAATCTGGCCGGTGAAGTACCAACCAGGTCATCAGATAAGTATAGGGTAGTTCCAGCTTTGGAGCGGATATGCCGGCAGAGGGTTTCTTTTTCTCTTGAGTGAACACGGAGATTAATTGCCGTAATCCACTGTGAATAGCAGCCACCATGGCAGGAAGCAAGGATAATTTGCGACCTGTAGTCAACTGGACGGCTGGATACAACACTTCCATTGGCATATCATCATAGGATTGATGGGGAACTACACACCTTTTCAACCATAAGGCCAGAAAGCCAGCTAGCAGGGTGGTAGGATGAATCGGAACACCAGCTTGCTACAAATAAGAACGGAATTTAGTACCATGCGGAAATCCGCCTTCTGAGTGAGAGGTGTAAGATTGTGCGTTCGTTTTCTCTAACAGCCGATTGATTTCATTCGGAGTCAAAGGAGATAACCCGCACACTTCTTATGAACGATTATCAAGATTCTTGAACAAATAATCGGCGAATTGTTTCAAGCTAATCCGGGGAGATCTCTTCTTAGCTTTAGTCTCCATCTCGGCCATAGCTATGTGATAATGACAGGTCAATTCCCATAAAGTGTCGTGGGTTACGGTTGACCGATCTTTCATCTTATTCAGCTGACTGACAGTTGGGAAGAATTCTTGATATGGGACATCGCCTATGGGCAAACCGGAAACCTTCATCATTTCATGCAATGGTAACCCATGCTCTCCATTCTTGGTAAAGAATGTATTGGTGTCAGGATTGTAAATCTCGAACAAACAAAGGAAATGACCATTCTTGGTAAAGAATGTATTGGTGTCAGGATTGTAAATCTCGAACAAACAAAGGAAATGACCTACACTAATCTGCAGACCATACATGCTGGCACGGATCGGGACTGACAACCCTAACTCTGCCAATTCTCGCATCCAACGATTCAACACATATCGCGTCATTCTGGTCCACCACTTGTCTCCAGAGTAATGGACCCATCCATAACATCTGAAGTTCTGGTTGGATAGTTTCTTTCCCACTACGGCTAACCGATTCTTCACGGTGTTTGCCTGTGCTGCCTTTTCATTCTGGGGTATATTATCTTGGCCTAAGACACCCGGATGAAGCCCTCACACAGAAGCCCTGTCACTGGAACCCGGGGTGGCTTCCTTCCCGATGAAACCACAGTGAATACGCTCATGGTTTTCGGTCAATCTTCAGAACATCTCACGTTCAACTGACAGGTTTCTGAACTTTAAAAGTGAATGCTCCCGAGGAATCCAGGGCAAGTACAAGAATAACGACCCGCTCTCATGTAACCACTGTGCATGTCTACAAGAAACAATCTCTGGATCTCTTACAGAGTCACCAAACAAGAAGTCTGGCTTCCTTATGCATTGATTCGAGTCTTGCTCTGAAATTAAGGTTGTATCCGTGATTAATCATCGTAGAATACGACAGCTACCTCGTCGGATCAACTCTCTAGCCCCTTCGCTGTAGTCTGACTTGAACTGGGGAGCTGATTCAATTAACGGGATCCCCTCATAATAGGCGTGGGTTACACTACTTTGGCCCATAACCTCATAGTAGTGAAGATTGCAGAAGGAAAATGGACTGATAAAAAAAGGCATACACATAGATTGTGTAAGAATAGTCCTAAAATTTTAGAGAAGGCAATATATCTTATTCCATAAGATATAATCGCCACCTCATAACAGGTGTGACGATTTTCTATCTACCACATGTGTAAAGGAGATATGCGCTACTATGCACGAGCATTATAACGGCATATCAAAACCTTTCAACACACATGAGAGGATACGAAATCGCCCATGTATATTCTGAAGTGTGTTTTGTCCAAGCAAAACAAACACCTTTTAGCGTCGATCCCCTCAAAGGAGGATACCGGCTCTTCACGAATGTATCTCAAAGGATACAAACGAGGATTTGCATGCAAATACAGTTATGTACATATGAAATTGACAAAATACAGTATATAAATCGATGAAAGGGTGAGAGATATACCCCCATGTGAAGCGGTGACAGCGGGACCAGCCTCTTCAGGGGACTGGACAGTCGAACGGCCCCGGGGAACTCGAGATCTACGCGGCGACATGACGAAAGTATATGCTACCTGTCAAAATCCAACAAGAAAGTTAGGGTTTTGAGGATATAATCAGCAAAATATCACAATACATATGTGCATGGGATGGAACTTAAGAAAGATTGAGATTTCAAAGAAAGAGGGTGAACAAACCTATCAAATCCGAGTAAAATCTCCCCAAACAAGAGCTCCACACAAATCAGAAACGAAAAAGAGAAGAAGAAGCAGAAAACTTGCAGAAAATCGCTGGAAAATCGCCCAAAGATTACTGCAAAATCGACGTGAAAAAAGCCCTAAAAACCCTAAGTCGGGGTTTTATAACCCCGACTTTGCCGTGCGAGACAGCTTTCACTGTCTCGCCGTGCGAGACAGTATATACTGTCTCGCACGAGACAACACATACTGTCTCGCACCGCGGGACAGCACATACTGTCTCTCACCGCGGGACAGCATATACTGTCTCGCACCGCGAGACAACATATACTGTCTCGCATAGGTGATGTCTTGTTGTTTTGATACGTATGGATACTCCAATAGGTCCACGAGTCTAAACTGTTTTCCTACATTCGACAGGCAGTTTCTGGAGAATATTATTCTGAATATTCTTAAGGATAACCTGACAAACTCTCGAGGGACATACAAATATCAATTTGGTGACAAAAGTCAAAGAGATACTAGCTTCGATTCAAGATCTCGATAACGGTCGAGCGATAAACGCAGTACCGGAAGAGTATTAGCTACTCTACAAAGAACTGAATAGGTTAAAGGATGAAGAGATCAAGAGCCGAAGCCATTTTATGGATTCTTCTACACGATCTACTCAACCAAGCATTGAAGGGATCGTAAGTAAAATCTATCTTATCCAAAGTATCCCAGACTCCTCTATAAAAGAATGAGTCTAGAATACTTTGGAGGGCGTATCTGTAGGCATTAAAAAATGCTAATAGATATCCAAACATAGAGAAGATCACTCAAAAATCACAAGAGTTGATCGTATACTGTTTTAGAAAAATCAAGACAGTATTTACTGTCTCGCAGCGAGACAGTGTTTACTGTCTCGCAGCGAGACAGTGTTTACTGTCTCGCCAACGAGACAGCTTTGAAATGGTCAAAAAAATACCTAAATAACTGCCACACATTAACTGCCAAGGGACGTGGGAAACATCGTGGGCGAAAATCACGTGAATAACTGCCAAAATAATGGAGTTTGAAACGTGGGAAAACAGTTACAGTAAAAACTGCCAGGCAGTTGGATTTTCCGAGACAGTATTTACTATCTCGGAGGCCGAGACAACAAACACTGTCTCGGCCGCCGAGACAGTAAACACTATCTCGCCAGCCTAATTTTGTCGTTTGTTGAGTTTTTTTAGTTATGTCCCAGAGGCTATAAATACCCCCCCTAGGGTCATTACTGACGAGGATCGAGCATTTTATCGAGCAATTCAGAGCAGAGAGAGCAGACAAAATAGTTCTTGGTGTGATTCCTTGAGATTCGAGCTTCGACTTGATCTTAAGAAGAGTGATCATCTTACTTTGATAAGATCTTCACTTCAAATTCTTACTTCGATAAACGAAGGAAGAATCACTAAGTCCCCTTCACGATCTGTGATTTGGCGGTCCACGAGTCAAAGCACTCCCGGCACAGGCAAAGTCCCACAAAGCAAAAGTCGATAAACGATTTTTGTGTTATTTTCCAAGAGAGTTGTAATTTTCTTAATTTTTCATTGTAATTTCCTGTAAACAATTTAAGTTTTAATGAAATCATCAATGAAAACAACTTTTGACAAAAACAGTGGAGTTATTAGGTCATGCTTGATGCCAGATATTATCTATGACATGATGAACGAGACGTCGGCGAAGAGAATGTGGGAAACACTCAATGAGAAGTATCTTACTAAGTGCATTGAGAATCGGTTTCACTTGAAGAAGAGGTTTTACCAGTTCAAGATGAAGAGGGGAGTTTCCATCAGGGAGCATGTCAACAATTTCACGAAGCTACTTTCAGATATGGCCAATGTGGATATCATGGTTGAGGATGAAGACAATGTGATGTTACTTTTGTGTTCGTTACCGGAAGATGATTATGGTACATTCGTTCTAACTATGATCAATGGAAGAACTACTATTAGCTACAAGGAGGTGACCTCGGCTTTGGTGAATTATGAGTTGAGAAAGAGTGATGGTGAACCCTCCGAGAAGGCATCGGGAGATGTATTAGCTGTTCGAGGCCGAGATCCAAACCGCCACCAGTTCAACAGCTCAAAGTCAAAGAATAGGAGTGCTTATAAGAGTGTTGATAGAAACCAATATCGGTATTATAAAAAAGAAGGACATTGGAAGATTGACTGCCCAAAGTGGAAGGAAAAAGTCGGGAAGAACAAGGGGAAAGTTGTAAAAGCTTCAGAAGTGAATGTTGCAAAAGCTATTATTGAGCATTCAGATTCAGATTCTTCGGGCTATTCGTGTCATGCACTATCGTCGGTTTTCTATGCTGATTCCACGGAGTGGATGATGGATTCAGGAGTTACATATCACATTTTCCCTAGGAGGGATTGGTTCTCCAGCTTTGAGGAGTTGGAAAGAGGGGATGTCGTGCTTATAGTTAATGATCGTGTATGCCCTATTGGTGGTATTGGTTCAATCTGGATTAGGATCCATGACGGAGTGATTAGGGAGTTAAAGGAAGTAAGGTTCGTGTCGCAGTTGATGAAGAACATCATTTCTCTTGGGACTTTAGAGGCAGCTGGATATAGAGTGATCTTAGATGATGCTACAGTGAAGGTCATGAATGGTTCCATGGTGGTGATGCGAGGTGTTAGGGAAAATAACTTATACTACTTGAAGGGCAAGACAATTACAGGAGGTCTAGCAGCTTCTATCACTACAGATGAGGACACTACCACTTTATGGCATATGAGACTTGGACATACAGATGATAAGTCCCTACAGTCATTGGCAAATCAGGGACTATTGAAAAGTGCTAAGACCTACAAGATGGAGCTGTGTAAGCATTATGTACTTGGAAGGAAAACTACAGTGAAGTTTGGCACCACTATTCACAACACCCGAGGTATATTGGATTACATTCATACAGATGTTTAGGGTCCTTCCAAGAACACATCTCTTGGTGGGGCCAATTATTTTGTCACTTTCATTGTTGATTATTCCAGGAGGAATTGAGTATACCCTATGAAGCATAAACATCGGGTCCTGAATATTTTTATGGAGTGGAAAAAGAAAGTAAAGCTGCAGACAGGTAGAAAGGTGAAAATTCTACGTTCAGATAACGGTGGAGAGTACAAGAGTGATCCGTTTCTGTAGTTTTGTCGGGATCACGGCATTAGGCGACACTTCACAGTTCGTGAGACACCGTAACAGAACGGGGTGTTGAAAGATTGAACCGTACCTTATTAGAGAAGGTGCGATGTATGATGACGCAGAGTGGATTGCCTAGATCCTTTTGGGCCGAGGTGTTGGTTTATGCGAGCCATATCGTGAATAGGTTGCCATGTATTGCGATAGATGGGAAGACTCCTTTGGAGCGTTGGTTTGGTTCGGTGGCTAGTGACTATGAGTCACTTCGAATATTTGGGTGTCCAGCTTATTACCATGTCAGCGATGGTAAATTAAATCTGAGGACGAGGAAAGTTGTCTTTATGGGATTTAGAGATGGAGTTAAATGCTTCAAGTTATGGGACCCACGGGATAAGAAGATAGTTATTAGCAGAGATGTCACATTCGATGAGGCGTACATTGTAGGCTGTCTAAAAATCACAATGGATAGCTGATCCCCATTAAGCCCCGACAATGAAAGTTACGATCAGACGACTTTATAATCACTGCATCCACAACTCTACAGTCGCTACAAATACGGCCTCATATTTGAGATGATTGATCTTGATGACTGCGATAACAACATGACTAATATTACATTAGCAACTATTAGAGATGCTGATGAGCAATGTAATGATTTTAGAAATAAAAGGTTGAACTTAGTTGGTGAGTTGCTTGGTAGAGAGCTGTGGGCAAATATTCGCCGATTCCCATCAAGCTCCAACAATGAAAGCTACAATCAGATAGCTTTCATGCCAACAAACGAAAGCTGCAAACATAGGACTTTTCACATAGATCGAGAAGAGTTATAATTCAACGACACTTCTGACAACTGATAAAAACTCTATTCATCAGTCTTCATAATCTACAGTGAAAGTTACAATCTGACGACTTTCACACTCCACAGCAGATAAAGCTAGGATTACTGAATAACGGTCCTTGCAACGCTCTGTAGAAGAGGTTACAGATCAACTAACCCCTTTTAAAACGCGGAAGTCATTCCCGCGTTACAATTCTGGAAGTGCAGGCGACCCCCGCGTTTCCAAGCTACAACAAGTCAAAAGCGAACGACCCTCGCGTTCTTGAAGTTCAACCAACACCCGACCCCTGCGTTTCCAAGCTGCAACAAGCAAAACACGAGCGACCCTCGCGTTCATTGATGTTCAGTCAACACCTAACCTCGCGTCTTAATTCTAAGACGCGAAGTTGGGGTTCTGAATGCCAGATTGGGCGTTTGACTCGTTCAAACATGAGTCAAACGGTTTCAGAACTATTTTTCCCACGATCTGAGGAAATCACACCCACTTAGGAGCGGATTTAGAGGGTAGTTACAACCTCTTATCCACCTATAAAATCTTAACAAACTCAACTGAGTTAAGGGCTGGCTTTTTGGGAACGGAGAGGCAGCAGGTTGGATTTTTAGCATCTAAACCGCACGGGTTTGGAGGATCTTCAGGATCTCAACCGCACAGAGAGGCAAGGGATACGAAATCCTTGGAGATAGGATTTTTGAATGGAGATCAGAAGATCAAACCTAAAAGGATTCTTCAACAACAGAATATCTGCTTGGTCATTAACCGAATCTTCGGTTCTAACAACTCTATTCACAGACTTCTAACTCGTTCAGAGTTCTTAAACTCGTTAAGAGTTACCCATCAAACTTTCCACAGAAGTTCAACATTCCCACAAGATAAGATGGTCGGATCGTCAACGGAGAGCAAATTCGACACGAACAATCGAAGGAGGCACTCCATCGCTACCGAGAAGAACCCAGTTTTAAACAAAGGGGAGAACCAAATTCGTTCTCTTTTCTTTTGTAATCAAATTGTAACCGGGATCGAAGAAATACAAGTCAAGTTTCTTTTATTCTCTTTATTGCAATTTTTCCAACATACAAAAGATGGCGACTCCACTGGGGAAAAGCTTCTCTGATGAAGAAGTAGTGGCGCAATCCGATGTTCTTCTTACTGGAACGACCGTCGAAACTCTCGTGGTAGAGTTTGATCAAGCTAAGTTTGAGGAGGCTATCTCCTCCGGATCACTTAGCTCCAAAGCTATGCGTAGGATCCATAAAGTTTCTAAGGAGACTAAAGCTACAGTTGTGACCGACTCATCAAAGGGATGTCTCCCCTAGGGGTTGCACTGTTCATACAGTCCCCTCTCTGAAGGAGAAGAATTAAATTCGGCACAACTCCAAGAAAGTCGATCCTCCAACCAACACGAGCTTCGTGTTTGTGAGCCTAAACACGACCCCGAGCCCAAACATGAGCTTCGTGAGAACCAGACTGAACGTGGCCCTCAATGGCACGTTTTACAGCCAAAACACGGACCTCAAGCCTTCGTTGAGTGCGAACTTCAACTTCGCGTTTCCCAGTCAAAACACGAACCTCGCGTCGACAATGAAGAACGCGACCCTCATGTTGCCAAACCAAAATGCGGACCTCGCGTTTCAAGTGTCAAACGCGACCTTCGCGTTTCAAGTGCCAAACGCAACCTTCGCGTCTCAAGTGCCAAACGCGACCTTCGCGTCTCAAGAGCCAAACGCGACCCTCGCGTCCCAAGTTCCAAATCCAATACAGAACCTGGTATATACCGTGGAGCTTCGGGGCGCTACCCCGAACCCCGCCGGGGGGTATTCCATCCCCGCCGGGGGGTATTCCAAACGAGACCCCCGAATACTCTACGTAGCACGACTAGATTGAGGGACGGATATAAGAAGTTTATGGATTCAAGGCATCTCAACTAGATCCATATTCACCAAGAGCCAGTCCTGTCCAATCATGGACTGGGGGTTCCAGTTCAAACCTCACGATCAGTGAGTAATTTTCCTCGAATCTTTACAACAGATTTGAGAGAGTTCATATCGAGAGAAAGACCAATGCAGCAAGTCATTCGTTCATTCCAATGTGAACGGCTGATTCCTATGGTCCTCTCAGGATATCAATGCTGCTCATATGCGGCCAAACCATTGGTGTTCGACCAATTAACGGACGTTGCTTTGTCTAACCAACGACGACGTTCGCACAGGAAGAAGTCTCCAGAGACCGAATATCCTGAGGTCACTATCAATGTGATCGCCAGAGGGAAAGCCTCAGGTCCTAGTTCCGATGACTCTGAGACAAGTCGTTCGCTGACCGTCAGAGAAATCACTAACGAGTTTGAAGGAGTTTACTGACGCACTCGGACGCGAATAGGAGCCATTCCCCCTATCAACTATCAGAGGTTAGCCAGAGGAACCAATTCTAATGATGAACACTCAGTCATTGCAGAGTCCTAATCATCAAGCTCTTTTGTTGAACATGAGAGCCCCGCTTATATGACGGGAAACCATGAAGATCTCACGAAGAGACTTGATGAACAGGAGGCCATGATCAAATCTCAGCAAGAGGCCATCAATAAACTCATGGCCCTGTTGACTCAAATCGTCGCAAACAAGGCCAAATCTCAGAAGACATATTCGCCACCCAGGCAAGAATCTTCCCGGAGAGGAAAAACGTCTTCATCCCGACCTCACACAAGCAAAGGGAAGGGTAAGATGGTTGATGACACAGCTTCTGACCAAGAAGCCCACAACCTGGAATCTTCCTCTGATGAAGGAAGAGAGACTGAGAACGAGTATAATCTCCAGTCTGCCAAAATGGAAGAATTAGAAGCCCGCCTCAATGCCATGGCCAACAGAAGCGAGCTCCAAGACGAGGGAGTTGTCAGACCCTATCCTGCCGAATGGGATGCAGCCTCTTATCCTCCAAAATTTGAAGTCCTAACGCTATAAACTTTTGACGGCACGGGATCACCAAACCAACATATTTATCATTTCAAGTCACAGACTGGGAATGTAATATCAAACGATGCCATACTGGCTTGATTGTTCATTGGCACCCTCAAGGGAGTTGCCTTTGAATGGTTCAGGAAACTACCTGCCGGATGTATCCAAAGGTGGGCAGATTTAGAGAGACTCTTCCTGTCAAGATTTTTTAAAGAGGATACAGAAGTCTCCATTCATACCCTTCTTGCCACTAAGCAGAAGAAGAGGGAATCCGTCAAAGCCTTCGTCAAAAGGTTCCGAACCATGGCTCTCCGGTGTTCGTCAGGTATGACACAGTCTACTTTAGTAGAGACCTGTCGACACAACTTGCAGACCGAACTCCTAGTCCGAATCGGAGTTGCAGAATGTCGTTATTGGAGACAACTAATCTCTCAAGGCGAACAGGCTCAAAAGATTATTACCAGGATCAAAGTTGAAGAACAAAGTAGGCAGGATCAACCTGAGCAATCGGACCAAGCCCAACCTTCTCCTGAGCAATCGGACCAAGCTCACTCTTCCCAGTCAGAACCGGAAGATACTACGGCCGCTAAAGCCAATCCTTTCCAGTAGGATGGCGGGTCCAACAACTATCACGTTAACAGTTACCTCTGATAGTCAAACTCTTTAGATGATGGCTCATTAGGCGATGTGTCATGTCTTCTCTTTTCCCCCTTGCACTTGTTCAAGACTGGGGGTTGGTTTATTGGTAGTGTAGGCTGTCTAAAAATCACAATAGATAGTTGATCCCCCATCAAACACCGATGATGGAAGTTACAATCTGACGACTTCCAGAAGGCTACAATTTGAGGACTTTCACGTAGAAGGTTACAATCTGACGACCTTCACAACAACTAATGAAGGCCCCAATTCAACAGCATTCACAATCAACATCGGGAGTTACAACCTGACGACTCTCATATTTTCAAGGAGCCAAGACGAAGATTACAAGAGGACGATCTGTGCAAAGCTCTAGCAAAAGAGACTACAAATTGACGGTCTCTTCATATTAGAATGCAGATATCTCTCAAACCGTAAGGAATTTGGCGAAATGGAGGAAGCGAACCAAAGCCTTTGGCTTGGTTCAGATGGCCCCGTCTCGTCGAGATAGCCGATTTTTATATATAATTCGTCCAATTCTGACTTACGGTTTGAAAGTTATGACCTGTTCTTCATAGCAAATTATGTTCTGAAGTCCGTCTGCAAGACCGGACTTCGTCAGAACATTATATTTAGCCTGAAGCTCGCCAAGCCCGCCTAAGGTTCACCTCTGCATTACAGAGTCAAAACGCACAGGTCGAACCAGCGTTATAACCTCAAAACGCAGAGGTTATCCTTGTGATATAACATTAAAACGCAGAGTTGCGGTCCAACTCTGTGTTTTCAGCCTAAAACGCAGAGTTCATCTCTAAAACAGCATGACCTGTGCGTTTTCAGCCTTTAAACAGGCCCAACTGTGCGTTTTCAGGCCTAACTCTGCGTTTCAGTCCAGAAACGCACAGTTCGGGCCCAGAACGCTGTTTTTAGCGTTTTGACTCGTTCAAAGCACTAAGAGAACGGTTTCAAAACCGTTTTCCCCACG